GGCTGCTATGGATCCCCACCTAGCCTGACTGAGTCAGGGACACCTGGTGCAGCAGATCTCTCCTGTTATTTGTAGATAAATAACTTAGCAGGGTGGGAATGTGCCTAGGAGTGCTCTGTGGGTTTTTCCAAGGACAAAGGTCATGTCSCTTCCTTGGACAGGCTTTGCTCTGAGGTAGAGGCTGGTTTTTCAGAAATAGAGTTACTCAGATACTGCCAATGACAACCAATATAGCTGCATAGGGAAAATGATAATGGTTTCAATATGCAGTGCTTCATATATTATTATCTGTACAAAAAAAAATTTGATTCCTAATTTACATATATAAAAAATTAACTTAAAATTGACCTGAATTTAATAGCTTAAACTAAGAAGAATGTAGAAGAAAATAGAATATAAATAGAACGTATTGAGGTCAATAACTTTGAGCATAAAGTCTCTAACCATAAAAGATGGATTTTTAAAAGATTAATCAACTGGACTTTATAAAAATCAAAAACCTCTCATTAAAAGACACTATTATAAAAATTCTAAATACAAGTTCTACACTAAGGAAAATATTCACAAATAATGATCTGGAACATATCAAGGATTCCAACACTTCAGTAGTAAGTGGACAAAGAATCCATTACAGAGAAAGAGCAAAAGATTTTATAAAAGACTATCTTCATGAAAATTGTTCAATACCTTCAGTTATTATGGAAACAAATAAATAAAATAAAATGACATTGCTTACTTAGTATGAGTAAAATTAAAAAGCCTAACCATAGCAAGCTGGCGAATGTGTTAATAACATACAATGTAACTCTACTTGGGAATAGGAAGAAACAAACCACAGATAGAAGAAAATGAACAAACAAACAAAGATGCTGAGTATTGGGGTATGGGAGAGGCTCAGGCCCTCAGGCCCACAAATCAAGGTTCAAGGATATGGCAATTGAAAGAAGATTTAGAGGCACATTCAGAGGTGGCCATGGCCATTAGCCAACCCGCCCTTAAGCTATTTTCATAGGCCCTTTTTATATATGAAGGCACATGAAAAAAAAATGCAAAAGTAAAAAGGAAAAGGAGGGAGAACTCATGGACCAGCAATGTTTTATTGAGCATTGGAGGGGCACATCTTTGGGGGCAAAGTGGCAGCCGGTCATCATGAGGGTTTTGGTTTTACAGGGTTTAGCAGAGCCAGATCATGGGAGTAGTTTAGAGTTGGGCAGGAGGACAGGTAGGTAACCTTATCCTTCAATATATAGTTCAAAAAAGGCACAATGACAACAGTATACATGGGATGGGGGGAGGTCATGTTATGCTCAAATTCGGGACCCCCAAAAGACCACCAGAGACCAAGATCAATGTAAGCAGAAAAGAGGTGTTTATTGCAAGCTACCTCGGTACTCTGAGCACACAGCAACTGG